TAATTCTATATTCATTATGTTCACAGATGATTTTGGTTTCAATCATATTTTGTGGGTATACAGTGGTCGACGTGGGGTCCATTGTTGGGTTTGTGATGGAAAAGCAAGGAGGTAATAAAACTGTAAAACTTTTACACTATAAGTTTAATAATGTTTTCCATAACTTTATAACCAGTCTTTAATATCATATCAGGTTGAATAATGAACAAAGGGGAGCTATTGCTGACTATTTTCGTGTCTACAAGGTTGGATTTATACATTTAGTTAATTTTTATAATGTGAGATTTTTGACAATTTTTTTTGTTGTTGTTGTTGTTCAGGGTAACACCAATAGTAAATCAAAGGTTTCTCTTGTGGGATCTGCACTTCATCCTTTTTTAGTGTAAGTATGAATAAAAGCAATTCATTTTTAAGCCAATTAAGTTAAATTTCCCTAACTCTTGTATAATTTCTGCAGGAGATCATATTCTGATGTTTTGAGAGACTTTTTTGAGAAGAAATTACTTTGTAGCCAGCAGTTACTTTCAGATGAAAGATATGAGAAAATACTGGAAATGATTCCTGATGAATGTATGCAATCTTGATTACATATTGAAATTAGGAAAGATTACTTTTAAGAAATGTCTATAATTTTTTTTTTTATTAAATTTATTTTTATCTTGCAGCAATAACCTCCGAGCTTAGAGGAAAATGGCAAGACAACAGGCGCTCTTCTAGTAGAAAAGATGTTAATGTTGTGAGATGGGAACAATTAAAACAGCTTCTTCAGTCTGGTAAACAAAAGGTATTCACATTTTTTTTTTAAATTTTAATCTAAAAAAAAATAATACTATATAGTATACTAAAATGTTGCTTTTATTTTACATGTTATAGGCAACTGGTATTCGTAGGTGTGTTGAGGAGATTGTCTTTTCTTTCACTTATCCTAGGCTTGATATGGAGGTCAATTGTTATTTCTTCTTCTTCTTATTATTATTTACAATATCACTACTTTATGATATTTTTATTATTATACTTATTGAAAGTCATTATCTCAGGTCTCAAAACACATGAATCATTTACTGAAGGCACCCTTTTGCATTCACCCCAAAACAGGTCAGTTTCTCTTTCTCTGAATATTTGTTTTTTTTAGTTAACAGTTTTCATGTTTACAAACGGAAATGTTGCATTTTTTTAAAGACAATTCATGATGTATAAATCACTTAAGTTGTTGAATATTTACAACTTTCATGCTTAAAAGCAACCCAGATTTTAATAAATACCACTAAAGTACAAGTTTAGTTTATGTGGTATGTCAAAAGTTATGCATCTGTTAAGTCAACGAAAAATGACTATTTTACCCTTGGCTTCTTATTTCCTTCATTCCTTCATCTCCCCTCTTCAACAACAGAGTTTTACCAAATTATAGAAAACAAATATAAAATTAATACTAGTGAAATACATGTTTGTTTAGAAAAGAGTATTTTTATGGAAGTTTTCATGTCAAATTACGAATCTAAAAAAAAACTTAGAAAGCATTCAAAAGTCAAATGTGGGGTAAAGATGGGGGCAAGATAGTCATTTTATATAGACTTGACAGATGTTTTCTAACACGGTTAGTATCAGGGGTAAGTTTTGCAACAAAACTAAACTCCAGAGCCCACATTTGCGACAAATGAAACATGTGGACAAAAACAATAAATTTTGACATACCATAGGGACTAAAGGTGTATTTTACTCTTTAATAATATGCTCTTTATTTGTTTATCCAGGTCGTGTTTGCGTTCCTATTGATCCAGACGTTTGTGATGAGTTTGATCCCACCAATGTCCCAACACTTTCTAAGGTTTTTTCTTTTAAAAAAAAAATAATAATAATAATAATTCGTTGAAGCTTTAAATTTTTATTATTTCGCTTGTTTAAATTTGTTATTTATTTATAAATCACAGCTTCTGAGAGAAATCAATAGTGTAGGCTTGCAAGTAGAAGGTGATAAAGGTATGCCACTTGATGTATCGTTATAAGCATATTCTTTACATCATTTTCTTATTATTATGGGTATTTATTATTATATATATATATATACTATTTTAAATAATTTTTTGGATTTGATTAATGGCAGTATGGGAAAGAACCTCTATGGGAAAGTCCATCAGATACTTTAGGGGATCATTCTTGCAGCCTTTGATGAAATCTTGCAAGGTAATCAATAACATCAAAAGCAACAACTTATTTCCATTTTTTTTTTTTTTACTTTTCGTATATTGCAACCATACTAAAATACAACAATTCACTGATTTTTCAGGAAGAGATAGAGGAGTCATATAGTGCCAAAGTTCAGCAATCAAAAAACTCCTTGACTTGGTAACGTTGTCTTCTTTAATTTATTATGTTGCAAGTTTAGTTAAAATTATGTATTATATATTTTATTCAATTGTAATAGTGTTAATGAACCAAAAAGTGAAAAGCATTTGTATGAGAAATGTTAGTTTTTGGTATTCTATAACCTGGTGATGACAAGGTTCAATTTGCCTCTACTGTTTAATGTTTTTTTTTTAATATATTCCAAATTCTAACAAGATCGTTTAGTTTTGATCTTGTGTGTTTTGTTGACTTTGTTACATATGGGTCTCTTTTTTTCTTCTAGACAGTTTGCAAGTAAAGCTGACTTATTAGCTTTTAATGCTAATTAGAAGGTTTTATTTCAAGTGTAAAACAGCTTCAATGATTGAACAAGTCAGAAACATAATCGTATTAAGAAGTGTAATTTATGGACGGGTCAGGTTGACTCAAAGTCCAAAAAGTAAATTTATTACACATCAGAAATAGGTCTTTACTATGGTTATTATATATACCAACTTTGATAAAAAAAATTATTATTATTGCTATTATTATTTATATTAAATAGACAAAAAAAAAAAAAAAGCTTTTGAGTTGTGTGACTGTGTCAAGGACAAAAGTCAGTGAAGTGGCAAATATTAGTTGAGATGTGAAACCAGTTTTTTTTTTCTTACGGTTTAATTACTTGATGTTTGAGCGAGCCGCGTGTACTATATGCATTTAAAGCAAAGCCTATGAAAATGATACATATTTTTAAAAGATATATGCTTTATTTCATAAGAATAAAAGATTTCTGATAATGATTATCAAATAATATCCTAAAAGATATATAATAAAAATATCTTCTTAGATTAAGATGTGACTTGTCTATAAAACTTCATTTATTTTTGCCTTTAGGGGTAAAATCTGGTTGGGCTGTTGATCTGCTCGCTCTTTTTTTTCTTTTTTTCTTTTTTGGCTTCCCCTGTTTGGGAATCCATTGATTAAGTTGTCATATAATTATAATAAAGAGAAAATATAAGGGTTCTTAATGAAAAACATAAATACTACAAAGAAGAAAACCGATATGACAAAACCTTAATGGGCTAAAAACTAAAGGGTCCATAATATATAGGCTAACACATGCAACTCAACTCAAAAATTAGGCGAGATCCATATTCAAAATGCTACAATGAATTGAGGTTGATATTAGGTTTTTTATTCGAATAAAAAGAATTTTGTAGTTTGTTTGATTTAATTTTAAAAATACAAATTTGGGTTTGTAAACCTATAGTTAAGGGTGTACGGTTGGTTTGTTGGAATGTAAAGAAATTCAGAGGAAAATGAATCCACTTCCACCACATTTCAACGTTTGCTTCAATTTTATATGATGAAATTGAAACCTATACCATCAAATACAGGAAACATATACTATTAAGGACAATGTTATTTTACCTTGTTATCCTTGTTTTATTTCACAATATAACTTTTACCACGGCCACAACCACCCACCCATCACCAATAAAAATTAAAAGAATTACAGAGCTTACCTGGTTCAGCAAGGATAAAGATGCACCTAAGAGTTGAAGTTGGCGAAAGGAGATAGAATTAACCCAAAATTAAAAGGGTTTAAATGGATTCTTATGCCCTTTGAAGAAGATTGTAGCCATTGCATCATCAACATATAGGGTCTATAATAATGAAATACCATTTGTTTCAAAGTACAATGCTTCGATATAATGGGTATCAAAGTACAGTGGTGTAATACGGCGTTAATAGTAAAAAAATATCCAACAGATGAATATTATTAAAATACAATACTGAAATACGAATAACCATACATAAGATTTATAGTAGATTGAGATTTCCCAACACAACACATGACAATTGACCACAAATGTACACTGTTAAAATTAATAAAACTGAAATAAATTGATAATCAAAAACTTATATAATATCCTAAACAAGGAGAGATAAATAAAAGTACAAATTCCAATTTTGTACATGTTATTCATCCTACAAATCGATTAATCACTGTACCTATTTCCTTTTAAAAATTGATGAATAAAAGAACACACTGTTAATGCAAAATAAGACTTTCTGTAAATATCAAAAGGAAAAAATAACTTTGTCCATCAAAATTTCTTAGTTTTAAGAGAGGAGTTCTTATTGTTTGCATTTTCATAATCTTTCTTTTAATTTCCCATTTGCTCACCAAGCAACCATGTAGCCATGAGTACACATAATGTTTAGGACGAATTACTTTTAACCCCCAACTAATCTGGCCCGATTCATCTAAGGGAAAATCAGATTGATTAGATTAACAACTATACCCCTACATGCAATACTTAAAAAAGTTTCTAAGTATCTTCTTTTGTGAAACTTGCTCATGTATAATCAAATCAACAATATGAAAATGATTTTTTTTCTCAAAAACTTTATTTTGTTCAAGCGCACTTATATACGCTTCTTTACATATTCTCAAACACGTCATCATTTTGTTAAACATTTGATCCATAATTCTATCCAAATAACAACTAAAAAAAGACAAAAGTCCAAATTTTATGTATATATGAAAATTATACTATTTATATAATTAAACAAAATTTTCTAACCAAAAGTATAAGGATTACCGTTGACTCCCTCAAAAGTCAAAAGTGAAAATAAGTTGTGATATTTCATATTTTATCACTCCTTAAGTCCTAATTAGCAAGTATTTCCCATATGGAATCAAGATCATAAGAAGGCATCCGCGCGAGTGACCAACCACCAATCTCCGTCTCGTCCGCCGTAGTCAACTCACCGGAAAAAGTACTTCCCGATGGAGAATTTTCACCTTTCAAAAACCCATCTTCCGAAACACAGGATGACCCCATATCACTCCCGCTGAAACTCTCATCGCCACCACCTGAATTCCCCACCACCGTAACCTTCTTCCTCTCCTCCCTCTTTTGAGCCTTCTCTCTTCTAACCTTTCGACAAATCGCCTCTAGTTTGTTATCCACAGCGCTCCTCAGAGCATTCAACTTACGTTCGTCTCCGATCAACCCCAACGACGTCGACTCCTTCACGTTAGGAAAATTCAAACGCGCGTATTCCCCACGTAACTTATATGCAGCTCGATCGTAAGCGTAGGCGGCCATCTCCGCCGTTTCGTATGTTCCTAACCATACTCTCATCCTGTTCCGCGGCAGTCTGATCTCCGCCACCCATTTACCCCATTGTCTCTGCCTCACCCCTCTATACAACTTCTTCTTGTATAAATTGCTCGCTTGATGAGAAAACCCAATTGGGGATTTTGTTTCGAATTCGTCTGTGAATTTGAGGATGAGATCTCTCTGTTTGAGATACATTGAAGACCCTATCGTAGCTCCTTCTACCCATGACGACGATGATGAACAGTGAGAAAAGACTGAATCGAAGGTGCTTGTATTCCCACCTGTTAAGATCAAATTCGACAATGAAGATCGAACTGAATCACTGATTAAATCAACAGCGAATGGATTACGGGTGTTTTCTTGCATGATTGTGAATTTCAGTGAAAGGGGAAGAACAGAGGTTTGTAAAAGCTTCAAATTATCAATGGATGATGTTGGTAGGGGCTCAAATTTCTTCATGTCTTAATTTGTTCTTGGGAGGGGGTATTTATAAGGCAAAAATAAGGTCCAAGTCTTTTCAATTTGGAATTTCACGAGATTGACTTTTGTACCCCTAAACAATATAAATGAACAAATAATCATTTTATAATGGAATATGTTATCTATAAAAATAATAATTATTTTATAATACGATATGCTATGTGTAAAAGCTTATGATATATACAAATTTACACGTATTAATTCCTAAAAGAAATTGTATAATATATACAAATTTACACCTATTTATTCCGTAAATTTTGTATTTTGTTTAAATATTGTCAAAAAGTTTATAAGATATATTGTTATTTTGTTTTTCGAAAATAGTATATCTCGGACAATTTAATTGATTAATCTAAAAAGTCAACCCACTGTTATTCATACTCAAACCAGAGAGTCCGTGTGGATCCCTTTTCATCATCCTTATTCCTTAGGCCAACTCACCTTTTGCCATTTATTTGGAGGTTGCAATGTTACTTTTTTGTTCTCTAAGAAATGGTCAAAGCTAAAAGAACAAAAAAAAAAAAAATGCTTTTAATGCATTAAAAAGTTAAACGTTAAATTGGTTATTTAGTGTTTGTTTTGAACGGCGAGCAAATATATATTGTCACAAAAGAAGAAAACAATTCAAGTGGGAAGCTCGAGTCAAACTACGAAAGAGTTTAGGGGACAGGACACATGCTCCAAACAAACCAATTAAAAATATAAAGCTCTGATGTATTTGTTATCCAATTAAATATGCCAATACTAATATCATCAATCAAGATTATGGATTCATGGTAGCACGACTTTCATTCACAATTTTGTGCCTTCTAAATAAACCATAACACCGAATAGGCAATGGACCACCACAACTTTTCCTGATTTTTACCCATATTACCCTCGTCGAGCATCTCCAGCAAACAAGAGCAAGAAGTGTAATCTCTTGTCTCTAGAACCTTAAGGTGCTAAAATTCTTCATTTATTGCATCTTGAGCGTCCTCATGATGTGAGATCTTGGGGGTCACGTCGTGAGTGGCCGTTGACCCTTATTTTGGAGTCTCACAATGTAAGTGCGACTTAATGACCATAAACCCTAATTTCAGATATTTAAGGGAACGAGAGGCTAGGGTTATCCATCCTCAACCTTTCTCACCCTCTAAGCCTCTAGAAATCCTAGATTTCAATTCACCTTGAGATATTTGGTGTTTTTGCTTGTGGAAAGGAAGGAAAAGGAGTGAAGAAGAAGCATCTTGGGAGGGAAGTTGCTTGGGATCTAGGCTTTTGGTCCCATTTCTCAAAGTTGTAGCTTGTTGGAGTGAAGAAGATCCATAAAGTTAGCAACTTTATGGATTCAAATGGTCTTTTGAGTCTTATATCTTTAAGATATGGAAGTTGGTGTAGTATTAGAGGATTGCATGTGAGTTTGAGACCATACTTCTACTTTTGACCCACAAGGATGGAGGGACATGCATGGTGCATGCATGTCCATAAAGCAAGCATTTTTATGGACCATTAGGGCCCCTTTTAGCTTCTGGAAATATGAAATGGGTGGCTGAATGGATTAAGAATGTTAAAAAGATGATTTTGGCTTCAGACCGTTCTCATTACGTGAGACATAAGGTCTCACGAAGTAAGCATGAGTCACCCATCCCCGTTGAGTCGTCTAAGTCAGAAGTGAGTCCTGGAATCGTAACAAACGTCTCTCTCGATGTGACCAAGGACTGGTCATGACATGAGACACTGTTTTGGGCTTTTTGGGCCTTAATGGTCCACTGGTTTTCTGACTTTGGGCCTTCTTATGCTTGGGCCCATTTAGAGCCTTAGGTGTCATTTAGGAATTTGGGCCTTTTTGGATTAGGCCCATGAGGGGTTTTGGGCCCAATTAGGAAGTTGAGCTGTATTGGGCTTTTTGGTGTTATTTGTATGGGCCTTGGATTTTAGGCCACGTGAGGAAAGGGTAAAATGGACTCTTACTCGGAGGGTTAGACATTGGACTAGGATTCCAGTTATGGGTTGTGGACCAATTATTAACGGGGGATTATTTAATGGCGTTAGCGCGAGGATTTTTCCAGATCAACAGTTTGAGATTTTATTTGAGAGATTCAGCAGCTTGAGGTGAGTCCCCTTACCGTGTTTGGCGGGTCAAAGGTACCACTGCCGACCCATGGTTTATTATGATTAGTTGTCTGTGTGACTCTGCATGTATGATATCCGACATGTATACTGATGGGGTCCGATGCCAGGCGAGGCCTAATGACTATCTTGTATTCTATTTATCTTTGTGATTCTTGCATATGTTTATGTGTTTGTATGTGTACCGGGCGGGGCCCGATGCTAGGGGGGCCTGAGGAATGTGATGTGGCGGGGCCAAACTCATATTACTGTCAGATATGTTTCGAGCAGGGTTCAATGTCGGGTGGGGCCCATTATATGTTTGATATGTATGATATATGCTGTTTTGGGGAACTCACTAAGCTTCATGCTTACGCTTTTTAGTTTACGTTACAGGTACTTCCGGATCCAAGGGGAAGAGCCCGGGTGATCACATCGCACACACCATATCGCTTCGCTTTTATTTGAGTATGATGTATTTGGATGTTTCAACTATACTTTGATTTTATCATGGTTTTACGAACATGTTCTTAATGAGCGTTTTATTATTTCAAAAATTGAAATTTTTGGTCTAAATCTTTTGACGTTACAAGTTGGTATCAGAGCATTGGTTTGAGGGATTCGAGTACACTCTCGGGTGTGTCTGAACTCAAACTAAGGATTTGGTAGGTTTTTATAAAAGGAATGTTTTATAACAAGAATTCTCTAACAATAAAAGGGGTGTGGTGCATGCAATTGACCAAGCTCAAGTAGGTTTCCCCAAAAAACCCATACATGTTTATGATATGCTTGATCTATGAATATATGAATCGTATGCTAGATTAGGTCTAAGGATCTAGGAGAGATGCATTTGTAGGTGTGCTATATGAACTTGTAGACTTGCATGCTAGTACTGATAAATCAGTGATAAGATGACCTATTTAGGTTATGCTTGATTCCGACTACTCAATGCTTGAATGTTGCTTGCTTTGTGCTTTTTAGGAGTTCTCATTAACCTTAGCTAACTAGTAAGCGGATATGCTAAGTTACACATGTTGGATATAGTGTCTAAGTCCATAACTTTATTTGGTATGAACTTGACCCGACCCGGCATGGTCCATTTGGGTTGCATGGCATTGCAATACTTGGATAGACTAAATGAGAGAATAAGGCACTTATGATTATTAATATATTATAAGTTCTAATATATTAATAATAGTATTATTTAATTAGTATTTGATCAAGTATTAATCTAGAATTAATTTGGTGATCAAAGTGAGACTAATTAAATATATAGGGTTGATTATGACAATCATCAATTCTTTTATGGTGGATTAATGATCCATGGTTTATGGGTTTGGTTATAACCATATGGAGCTCCATGGATAGTCCATGGGAGTTACAAACCCATGGGTCATGAGAAATGAAGAGTCATGACAATTAGGGTTTACATTTGTAGCTCCTAATTATGACACACTATAAAAGAAACCCTATAGCATGCAAAATTGGCACTAGAGTATTCTTGTGAGGGCATAGCCGATTTGGAGTGTAGAAATATTCTCTCTAGTTATTCCAAGGTTGTAGTGTTGTGTGAAGCATTTGAGGCACAACATTTGGGGTGCTAGGCTCACAAAGTCTTGAAGGAATCCAAGCGACAACAAGGTATGTATTTCTACTAGTTCTTTATGTTTTATGTAATCCCCATGCCATGCTAGTTAGGAAATAACCTTGAAAAAGAAATTTGCATGTATATAGAGAAAACATAGATTCAAGGTTATTAGGGTTGCATGTACACTTAGGAAGTGTTAGAATGCTCAAAACCCAACAGTGGTATCAGAGCCTAGGGTTGTTTTCTGTATACTTGATGCAAAACTGCTTAAAAAACGAAAAATCTGCTCATTGACGACTGGACTCGCCGAGTTCATGGGGAGGACTCGCCAAGTCCATGAACAAATTCATCCTACTCGACGAGTAGAATCACGCACTCGACGAGTAGGAGCGTGTTGGGCAGTTTTTCGAGTTTTGTTGCTGGAAATGGATTAAAAATCATTATCCCAAATTGTTTTGGACTTGAATTTTTTTTTTCAAAGAGGTAATGATTATGTTAACCCATTTTAAATGACTATTATCAATTTTCAAGTTTTATATGTGTTAATATGATTTCTTGAAAATTGCTTTGCATGAATTTGTGTTCTTATGAGTTTTTAGAAGATCATAGAAATTATGTGTAACCTCCATGTATGTTTAAATCATGATCTTAATGGCAATAACAATGTCCATAACTTGTCCTCAAGTTATGGATAACCAAAAGTCACTTCTTTAAAAGTTGTCATTAAAGAATAGTAGGTTTCATAAAATGAAGAGTCTTCATTTTTATGAACCATTAAAACTCATAAGTTACAAATTGAAGAGACTTGGAATAGTTTCAATTCTTGCCCTCAAGTTTTGGAATTTGTAAAGTCTTACACTTTAATTCCAAATTATTTTTTTTAAAAGTTAAAAAAAATTCAAACTTTATGGACTTCATTAAATTAATTAAAGTGTTTAATTAAAAGAGTTAATAATTCCATAAAAACATGGTTTCAGTTTAATTAAATTAAGAGTATAATTTAATTAATAGATTAAACCACCATGTATTTTAAATGTTTAAAATACACCCTTATACTATTATTATAATTTTATTATATAGATATGTATAAGAATATGTCATTCTTACCGTTAGTAGGCCTCATTCACGAAGCCGGTCTATAAGGGGGGTATAAGGTTGTTGCCTATAAAATGGTACTTAATGGTGTCCACTCTCACCCACCGCTTCCTTGATCGGTGGAGGGTCGTTAGCCGAACGGGTAGGATACGACTTTAAATACTCATTAAAAGTATAATGAATTATAAAGTAACTATACATTATA